GATGGCCTCTTGTCGGGTGCCCTACCTCATCCAGTCTTTGGGCTAGGTTGTCTAGCCTGTCAAGGACCAACTTAAATTGGTCCATAGTGACCAAGTTCTGAGCGTTCTAATTGTTGTTTGGTTTATCGACCATGTCGGAAGCTTAGTTAATTGAGTTAAGTTTTTCTTCTTAGAGGGAAGTATTAAGAAACATTCCCACAGATGGCACCAATTGTTGTTGCCAAAGATGGGGCGAAGGGCAACAAGGTAACTTCACTGATGTATGATACTGGTCGAGGAGAGGCATAGTATCAGCCTCCATCCCTCGGAGGACTGTAGTGGCCAGAGTGCCCGCCATCATCCTAGTTGCTCTTTGCGTGGTGGTGGTGGTGGTCTCGGTGATTATCACGGGATCCTACTAGATCACCCCTTCAGTTGGGGAGCCAAGAGGTCTTCGATGAGGGCTTGCTAGCTCGTCGGCTGCTACTGTTGGATGTTGAGGGGTCGGCCTTTTTGGGGCTGATCGGGCATTGGACTAACGGTGCATGAGTGGAGCGCCCACTGTACTGCCCTTGGCTCCCAATGGGGCAGCCACCATGCGGACGGCCTTCTATCGGGTGCCCTACCTCATCCAGTCTTTGGGCTAGGTTGTCTAGCCTGTCAAGGACCAACTTAAATTGGTCCACAGTGACCAAGTTCTGAGCGTTTTGATTGTTGTTTGGTTTATCGACCATGTCCGATGCTTAGTTATTTGAGTTATGTTTTTTTTTTCTTAGAGGGAAGTATTATGAAACGTTCCCATAGATGGCGCCAATTGTTGCTGCCAAAGATGGGGCCAAGGGCAACAAGGTAACTTCGTTGATGTTTGAGGCTGATGGGTCCAACTTGTGAGCAAGAGAAGACTACATGTCAGAGGCCCCTGGTGTTATCCTAGGGATGGAGACTCTGACAGTCAAGTTAGTCAGGTGCTTAAGAGGGGTTGGACCAGGCTTGAGAGAAGGGCTCAGAGCTTAGAAGAGGTCTCTCAAGAGTTTGAATGCAAGAGAGCAAGAGTGAGCAAGATGGATTTACCTTGAGTTGGGCACCCCCTTTTATAGCTAACCTTGCCGTGGAGTGGTTGGAGGCAATTAGAGATGGACAACCAGGATTCCATCTAGCTGATGCCACATGGTGCAATCTGGGGCCTGCCATGTAAGCTTACATCAGAGTTAATTTCCATCTCATCTTAGACATCTTTCAATAGGTGGGATTGGATGATTTGGTTCGAATTCAAATCCGATTGTATTTTGCTAGATTTAGATATTCTTTTTGTAGGATTCCAGATTAGATTGAAAATATAGGATTTCTTTATAAATTGGATCTCGTATTTATATTACATTTTTATATGATTTATGTTGTTTTTGTAAAAAGACATGTATACCCCCATTTTGTTTAAAAGATATATGAGAAAAATAGTTGAAAAAATGCTTTGTGTTTTTTTTTCTTTGTATAGACAGTTTTGTTTTTATTTTCTATTAATAACTTGTTAAATTTCACAAACCTATGGGTAATTAAATCAGAATTTTGGATATCCGACATCCTTAGCGAATTTGAATCCAGATTAATATTTGTAAGATCCGTTGGATCATTGGACCGGATAGGAATATACTTCAATTTGAATCCGATCTGATCTATTTGCATCCCTATTTGTGGTTATTTTTCCTATTTTAAGGCTAACTGCTCGGAATTTGAAGACATGTGCTGAATTTGAATGGACGACCTGGCTTAAAGGCCCAAGCCCAAAGCAGTATAAATCGGGGCCAATATGATTTGCACCCCTAAACATAAGGTAATATTTCAACCCAAAAGCATAAGGTAATGTAACAAAGGCCAACAGCTTATACTTTAAGAATATTCTTGGGAATGCAATGTTGCCATGAGAGGGATAAAATAGTAATTGCCCCCTATTTTTTTTTACCAGGGCATGACGTGTTCAGCCCAAAAACACTTTCAATAGCATAAGTTGTTGGCTTCCAACTTATTAGTGGGATACTGGGATATGTTGATGCAACTTTTATTTTGACAATCATAAAATCCTCCCCTATAGTAAAATGGGTACTAAAATAACTAACCGGTGAAGAATGGATTATGCCGATCAATAACAATTGCCGGTAGAGGTGTAAAATGGGCCAGCTGGACCGGCACGACATGATTTGCATATGGCCGGGTCATGCCTCTCTCCCTTGGGATATTTTGGGCGGTCAATTCGGCATGACCCATGGCCCGAGCTCGCACGGGTTTGTGTTGGACTTGTCTGTGGGCCAAATCGAGTCATAGACCAGACCAACGTTATTTATTTAAGAAAATTGAAAAAAACTTAAAATTTTAATTTTATATAAATTTTAATGTATACAATTGCTTGCTTGTATATACAATAATTAAATAAAATAGTATAATAAAATTGAAAAAAATATTTATTTAATTATATAAATATCTGTGTCGGGCCGCGAGTTGGCCTGACCTACTGACATAAAACCCTAAGCCCAATACGAACCATCAGCCCATACAATTGAGCCGGACCATGGGTGGCATGGCCCGATTTATACCTCTAATATTCGGTGAATAACAATTATCATTAACTCCCTACTATTCCTTGGAGTTTCAAATTTCAAAAAAGAAAAACAAAAAAAAAAAATTAATGTCCAAACGAACAACTTCCAAAGCATAAATAAATGGGTCTGAATCTGTACGTATTTCCAGCAGCACAAATGCTCATCGTCTTCCCAGCCGCAAGCAACAAAGACTCCTTCATAGTAAGACCATCTCCCTGTGGTGTAATCCTTCGTCGTGTTCACAATGCTCCAGAACATCCCGCCGACTCTCTGATCAAAAACTGGAGGCAAATCTATACCGTTGATTCCCCCATAGAAGTATGTGGGCCGTACAAGGTAATTAACATTGGGGGTGACCGGCAGAACGTAGCAGAATTTCCGATGAATACAACCTTCAAGAGAGAAAGAGCAGAGGTGGAGAGAGTCACTGATTTGGGCACTCCCGGGAGGACATACTTGTTGCCGGGGACCCATGAAAGGCCATCAATATCGGAGCGTGCGGTGGCGTCATAGTTGATGAATAAGCCTGAAATGAAGAAGGGAACCGAAAATGAATTGACATAAAAAGTTTAAATTCAGGGAGATGGAGTGGAGATCGAAAATCAAATTAGCGATGAAGAAGAACATGAGTTTTAAGGTGATTAAAATGACACCCCTTGAGGGTGTAGCGTACAATCTATATTCCCGTGAAATGGTGCTCCAAAATCTAAATTTGTATAATTGGAACCAGCCTATTCTTAATGGAGAGAGAGAGAGAGAGGATTCTATTGATAAACGATGAGATTATGGCCTCATAATCTTCGATTCATATTGTTTTTCACTATCACTGGTGACTGTTATTGATTGGCATAATCCGTTCTTCACCGCTACCGGTTAGTATTTAGGTACCCATTTTAGAAAAGGGTAAAATGGGTATTGGAAAAAAATTATTAATTGATTAAATATTTTCCGTCCGGCTCAATGATGGAAGGGAGGTTTTTTGTCGATTTTTTTAAAAATTAAAGAAAAGTTTTTATTAAAATGAAACTGTAAGGGAGATTTTTATGATTGTCAAAAGAGAAGGTTTTTGTATTTTACCCATTTTTTGTTAGTAGAAAATAAGAATTCATCTATTTTATTTATTTATTTATTTTTGGTACTTCAAGTCGATATTCAAATTAGATCCATCCATCCTTGTTTGAGAGGAATACAAATACAAATATCTACGGTGCAAATTGTATACAATATTTCTAAATTTTGTATTTACACCGTATATATTTGTATTTGCAAGCCTTAATTTCTTTTTAGTTGGCAATTCACCTGAGGAACACCTACCTGGACCATGATTAAGGTTATAAACTGATTTTACTAAAAAATTGCATTTTCTGTTAATCAACTAAAAAATTATCTTCAGGGCATGTATGGATTAACTATTAGTTATGGTTTAATTAAGGTGTGGTTGGGCAAGATTTTTTTTATGAAAATCTTCCCACGGTTTAAAGATCTTAGATCTTAGTTAAGTATAGTCAGTCTATCATGCTCTACAAAGCTGTTTATTTAGGCTATGTTTGATTTGAAGGAAAATGTAGAGAAAGGAAGAGAAAGATAAAGAAACCTTTACAAGTCTTGTAGTTGTATAGGTTTTTCCRTCTTTCCCTTTCTTTTCTTATCTTACCTTTTCCTTCAAACCAAACATAGCCTTAAAGTTTTTAACTTTTTTATCATTTTGAATTTTTGTGAATTTTTAAATTATATTTGATTTGATGGAAAAAGAAAAAAAAGGAAAAAAAAGGTAAGAAAATTTATACAAGATTTGTAAAGATTTTCTCTCTTTTCCTTCTTTTCCTTCAAATCAAACATAGCGTTAAGCTATAGGTTTTTCACGTCAAACTGCAAAATACCAAAATTTGGTCTCAATAAATTGAATACAGATTTTATGAAAATTGCTTTATTTGCAAATGTTAAAAACTCAGGTTCCCTAGACTCAGATGATCATCTCATCTTTAAAGAGTGATAAAGACCAACGAAAGACAAGACAACAATATCAGAATAATCAAAGGAAAAGAAAACAACCCAAAGGAATCACTCCAATAATTCTGGCAAAAGCGGATTAAGGGAAACCACGCGCTCATCAGTCAACCAGTGGGCACTTGTTCCTGATTGTACCCCTCTGGCCTGTGGCCATCCACCATGGGCTCTCGTAGCCATACAGTTAAAGGGCAAGCTAGTAAATTTGTCTGGCTAGTAGTAGGGAGAGTTGGTGGATTCCTGTCTTATTCTCCATCCTTCGTTTGCTTGTTTGTCCGTCTCTTTCTTCTTTTTGGACGCCCAAAAAACCCAAACCATTGGCGTTGCATAACCATGTCTGAAACCGCCGCTGGTTTTATTATACTGAACTAGACGAGTTTGATCAATCTCTCTACCCCCTCTCTCTATATTAAACAACCCCACATCCAATCTTCTTCATCAGATCACAGACGAGTCAAGCAATACTTCTAAACCAAAATTCAGAAACGATCAACCAAAAGAAAAGAAAGATGAGTTCCACAACCAGAGCTTGGGTTGCCGCTTCAAGCATTTTAGCTGTTGAGGCATTGAAAGATCAAGGCATCTGCAGATGGAATTACACTCTGAGGTCGTTGCACCAACACGCCAAGAACAACCTGGGATCGTTTTCTCAGGCTAAGAGGAGCATCTCTTCTTCCTTAGCGATGGCCTGTAACAAGACATCGAGAGATGAGAAGCAGATGAAGCAATCCGAGGAATCTCTGAGAAAAGTTATGTACTTGAGCTGCTGGGGTCCCAATTGATCCACTCCCACACCTCCCTTAACACTACCAGTGTTACAGATTTTGACCCAGCAAACGAAGAATGGCAAAATTGGGGTCGGACATCGGTGGAGGCTGAGAATGAAATATACCAAGAATTTTGTAATTACTGCATATAAACACCATTAAATCGTTATCTTAATTACACAAATATATACTTCCTTATTATCTCAAATTCTTCATTTTCTTTTCTATTGGCCTTCATGATTCAACGGTGAATATATAGGTGTTTCATGCATGGATGGGTTGAATCACGATTCGTTTCCTGGATAAGTGGACAATGCAGAGGTTTGGCTATTTTTGAATCATTATCTGTTCTTCAATAAGTGGTGATCATCCAAGTTATCCGTCTAAGGAGAATGAATTAGTGACCATCGCCTGGCACATTCTTTCCAGTAAAATTAGGGCTGTTTTGCTGTAATAGATTATAGATTAGGCTTTCTCTCAAGCCAAATTTGGTCTAAGCTAAAATAGTGAAAATTTGAGAGAATAAAGCACTAATCCTATGGTCTTCCTCCCTCGGTTGTGAAATATACTTGTATAATTGCATTGCAATTGTTACAGGGATAAGCTAAAAACAGTGGCGTGATGGTGTGAGAGACTACAAGGAGATGGGAATATGGGATTACGATTAGGAAAATTGTATAAAATTGTAATGTCACTTTGGTCTTCAAACTTTAAAATTGGACAACTCAGGCCATTAATTAGTTATTAACCAGCCGTTAAGTGACATTTTAAAAAGATAAAAATTACCTCTTCTAAAGTTGGGGTCACCAAAATGTCCATTCAAACGTTACCCTAATTTTCTTGAACGAAATAAACAAGAATTTGGGACTGTTAATTTTTTGTCAATGCTTAAATGGTTGATAAAAAAAATTAGATGACATTCAAAGAGCATTTTTGTCCTTTTCAAATATCAATGACAAAAGCCTCACACACCCATTAATAGCCCACAACATTTATGTAGGGTTGGGTTGGTACTAAAGTCCATGTATGTTGGGATAGTAGAACTTGAAACTCATGGTCCATAGCCTCCCTTCACTCAAAGGATAATGTGGGTCAGGGGAAGATAGGCCGAGAGAAGCAGTATGTTGGTGGAGATGAGTGCTGTGGTGGTGGTGGTAACTGTAGAGAGCCAACTACAGTCCAATTGGTTATCTACCATGACCAATTTTATACTAATTCTTCTCAATTTTATATTAAAACAGTTTAAAATATCCAAAAGGTGGATTTTACAATGGTTAAAATATAACCCTAATTAAAAGGAAAGAGGGTGACAACTCCATTGGTTATCTACCATGACCACGTTGAATAAATAGTAGATTAAAAGATTATGTGAATTTTGATTATTGATTATTTCTTTTGTTTTCATTTTTTATAACTTTCATGAATTAATATGTTCTTTTCTTTATTTTTTTATATATTTTCTTATCAACAATTCATATGTCTATGTCTAAATAGAAAAAAATATCATTGTTAGTAATCGTTTTTCATTTTCAATTTATTCCATTAATATGATTACTTTCTTGTCAGCATCCAATTTTTTATCGGTCCTTTCACCCTACCTCTTTGTACCTTCATTTTAAGACCCCAAAACTTGAAAACATAATCGGACCAACTTGAGACTTGACAAAACCTAAAAATCCCTCTTTTGATGCAATCCACATGACAAACTAGAATATTGAGATCAAAACCGAACATCTGATTAGACATGACCCTTAGACTTAGGAAGCTATAGCTTAATTATACATTAAATTTCGTGACCAAACTCCAAAGATCCTTCATTCATCACACCAACCTCCTCTCTAACGGCCCCAATCTACACGATGTTCAAACCTTAACTCTACAAAGTCAAATCCAAAACATCCATTGCCTCTAGCCAATAAGACTCAATCAATTCCCAAATCTCACATCAAATCTACGATGATCAATCTAAAAAATACCAAGATTCTATTTCAATAACTCTGAATGAATAAAACTAAACAACCAAGATCAACAAGCTTTTTCTTAAATCTAAATAGTCCACCCGACTCCTCATCACAATCCATGCCCATATGCCAAATTTCAACTAAAAAAATCCCTTATTTAACCGTCCAATCAACAAAAATTCTAATTCGACACATATAATTAAATCACAAAAGAAGCCAAATCCAAACAAAGTGGGTACCTCTCATTAAGTCCAAGAAAACCCTCCTATCCAATTTCGACCTTAAGATCCTCCAATTTCTCCCAAAATGAGCAAAGTTCTTTTTCAAGTCTTCTCATTAGTTGATAAGTCATAAGCCAAAACTTTGATTTGAACCCAATCTTTTAATCCACATCTTTGAACACAAATTCATCTTTTCCATCACATTCGAGATCCATATTTTCCATGATGGCTGATGTCAACCCTATATTTAACCAGTTCAAACACCTGGACCAATAAAATTCAGTCTAATAGACTTAAAAAAACCTAAAAACCCAAAGATACCCCATTTAAAGTTATGAAAAGACAAAATAATATTTTTGGGTGAGTCAATTTTTTGTTTTATGTGATTGGGAGCCCAAAATACGAGACTGCAATGTTAGGCATGCCCCAAACTCTCATTGGATGTGTGAAATCCACTATGTTTTAGATCTGAGATTTGCACGAAATCTCCATGCCCTTGTTAGTTTCAGACCTCTCTTGAGCTCGTCCAAGCACTCTCGAGTTTGTTTTATTTCTGGGTTGCTTGAAGTTCAGAAACCTTGGAGAATTTGCATTTCAGCTTCTTCTAAGATAAGAGAAAGAGTTTGAGAGGTGAGGGTTTTAGGGAAAATAGTACATAAAGCTCGATAACATTACCTTAAATCAATTTTGGGAGAAGTTGGGAAAGGTTTTACCAAAATTTGGGGATTTTTAGCAATCATTTTGTTAGTGTTTCACTGTAAATTAAGTATTAAAAAACACCCGTATTGGGCTATTGCAACAGCTTGGAGAGAGGAGTTCCTAACACTTTCCCTCTCCCAATCTTTGGAATCCGGAATCTCTTGGTTAAATGCCTTTCCCGTGTAGAATGAAGTCATTATTTTGAAGATAAATCAATTTTTTCAAAGCTGAAATGAGGGCACATTTCCTTTGCGAAATAGGTGGCGATTCTATCTTATTTGAGCCGATCATGAGATTCCTAGAACTCACATTCCTAAATCTAGAATATAAATAATATGTTAAGAGTGGTTCCTGAAAAGTAATTAATTGTGTTACTAAATCTTTTAATGGTTAAATTATTGTAGTAGAAAATCTCTAATAACTTTTGGCTAATGATATTCAAGTTTCCTTGAGAACCTTTAGAGTTAATGAAATTTTATTTTCATAACTATGAACTTACAATTTGTTGTTTATTGTTACGGACTTCCTCTTTTATCTTTTAGTTATGGAGAAACTTGACTTTTTTGCTCGTTTGGTGGCATCCAAAGCCTTATGTTCTAGATTTTTATGATGAAATGTTTTCCCATATTCAACATTTATTTTTGAAAGAAGAGAAACTGATGAAAGTAAAAAGGGCCAACTCTGTTTCCGAATCATTTGTCTATTTTTAGAGTTTGGATCACGAGGAGCAAATGTGTTCCATTGAAGGCATTTGGGGACATTTTTTATAGTCATAGTAAGCAATCAAATTTTAATTGCGACACATGACCCCAACATAGCAACAATATTAAAAGAATGACAACGATAAACAAATAAGCAATAGTTAAATAATTATGAAGTATGAAATTAACACATTGTGTTGAATTTACAGAGGGCTTTCCATGTTTATAACATTATTTGGCAAAGATGGATCAAGTGGATTTTGGTCAATTTACTCTTCTTATGAGTAGTATTATCACCATCTTCATACAATTCCTCTAAAAAGTACCAAACATATTAATATAAATATTAAATAAATAAAAACAAAGATAAATATGAATAGAAAATATACCAAATCTGTTTGGGTTTTCTTTATGCAATGCTTGCATTTCTCCAAACAACTAACTTTTCTAATGTTGCTTCCATGCCCTTTTGACATTGATTTCATTACCTTTGGATACCACTTTATCATCTTCCTCTAAATTATCTTTTGAATCTTGAATTACATCACATGGTCCGTATTCACAAACAAGAGTCAAATTGGTGCTATGGGAAACAACATCAAAACTTGGGGAGCTTTTGCCTTTAGAATCTCTTCTATCTCCTTCTTGCATGGTTATACACATTTAATAAATATATGAATGTCTCCTTATTATTTGTAGCTTGTGTTGAAACCTCTTTAACAACTCTTCAAAGTTCCATAAACATTTTAAAAAACTCAACATTAGGGTCAAGTTCAATTGAATGGCCACAATAATCAGTTACTTCTCCATACCTTACATTCCTTATCAATCTCTTTAAGACATATTTTAATTTTGTTTTTGAGAAAGAATATATAATGCAAGCATACGTAAAATTCCCGCAAACTCAAACTTTTTACAATTACAAACAATTTCTACACAAGAAAGATTAATTGTCATAATATTCTCACCATGTTTATTCAAGTATTTCACTTTGTACTCATTGTTCCAACCTCGACTGCATTTTGGATAAGACAATCGTGACTTTTTTAATATTTCTTTTCATCAATTTCTCTAAACACTGTTGGAGTGTATATAGATGCAACCCGCTTTAACATGTGTATTGGAAAAGTTAAGTGGGGGATATTCTGGCTCATTTTCACTTCTATTTGTAACTCTTTATATTGACGATCTGATATAACTCTATCAAAGTGCTTAAAAAATTAATGCAAATCGAGRTAGGGATTTAAATAGCCTCTCAATGAACTATTCATGCTCTCATTCCTTTATGTAGTTTTCATATTAACACAAAAATTGTTTCTTTCGTGTGCTAAAACCCATTTCTCTTTCACTTGAAACAATCATGGTAACCAAAATTTTTCAACTAAATCATATTTTGAGATCATCTCATGTCATGCCATTTGAAATTCTTCATCCTCTTCATGTTCATATATGCATCTATTAAAGTCCTTATCAAAAGAAGAAGCAGCAGCAAAAACTTGCTTCAAAAACTGGCTCCTAGCTAGCAACGGACGGCACCTGAGAGGAAGAAGGTGAAGGATTCTCGGGGGATTTGCCCGGCGGGAATACTCCAAAGCTTAAGTTAGAACACTGGGGGAGAAAGTAAAGAGTGTAAAGAGGCTAAG